TTCATTTCTGGGTTTTCAATTCTGTTCCATTGGTCCTGAGGTCTGTTCTTGTGCCAGTACCAAGCTGTTTTGATTACTATGGCTTTGTAGTAGAGTTTGAAATTTGGGATTGATATTCCTCTAGCACTGTTGTTTCTGTTGAGGATTGTTTTTGCTATTTGGGGTCTTTTTTTGTTCCATATGAATTTTTGGATTGCCTCTTCTATTTCCTTGAAGAATGAGGTTGGAATACTGATAGGTATCACATTGAATTTGTAAATAGCCTTGGGAAGTATTGACATTTTCTCAATGTTCATCTTTCCAATCCCGGAGCATGGCAATTTTTGCCACTTTCTAAGTTCTGTTTTGGTTCTATACTAAATTTTTTGATTTCACATAAATAATTGTCCCAAGGGAACACAGCAACATATAAAATAAGCCATTCTATTTCATTTTGTTAAGATTGTTCTTGTTTGAAAGGTTGTGAGAACTTGGAAATGTGTGCTTTCATTTAGTAAGTGTTTATAGAATACTTGTGTTGGACATTTGCTGGCTGGAGGCCAGCAGTCAGGGTAAATAAGGTAGCAATAGTCCCTGACCTGGTGGAATATGCAGTCCAGGGGAAAGGCCTAAATGAAGAAGCGATCACCATGTGAGACCATACATAGATTTTGTTAACATGGAATTTGTATTGGGATCATGTTTTTTCATAAATATTTTAACAGTGCCTAGGGTAAAAAAAAATGTAAGATCAAGAAGTTAAAACAAAGTTGTTTTTTTTTTTTTTGAGTGGGTCGTGGGGCTTGAACTCTGGGCCTGGGCACTGTTCCTGAGTTCTTCAGCTCAAGGCCTGTGCTCTACCACTTGAGCCACAGTGCCACTTCTGGTTTTCTGGTGGTTAATTGGAGATAAGAATCTCATGGACATTCTTGCCTGGACTGGCTTTGAACATGATCCTCAGATCTCAGCCTCCTGAGTAGCTAAGATTACAGGCATGAGCCACCAGTGCCTGGCATCAAAGTTTCTATTTTAAAGGGGAAACCTACCTAGGTATTGGAGACTCATGCTTCTAAGCATAGCTACTCAGGAAGCTGAAATCTGTGGATGGAGGTTCAATGCCAGCCTGGGCAGGAATTTCATGAAACTTTTATCTCCCATTTAGTGACAAAGATTTGAAAGTGGAGCTGTGGCTCAGTGGTAGAGTCCTAGCCTTCAGTGAAAAAAAGCTTAGTGCCCAGGCCTTGAATTCAAACCCCAGGACTGATACAACACAAAATAAAATGAAAACTTAGAAGGATCAAAATTACAAAAGAGACAACCATCAAAAGTAAAATATAGGTAGGTATGACAAAATATTATTCAATAGTTCTTCCACTTAAGTCACCTTCTTCAAATTGCTGTGTTTCAACTTGGCTTTTAGATGAGGGAAGGGCTGGGTGGGGAGGGGCGGATAAGAATATTGAAGGGGGTGACAGGATCAAGATGCATTGTCTTCATAAATTTCTTTGTTAAATACTGAAACATAATTTAATACAAAAGAAAAGCTTTACATACTTGAGTGTAGAAGGTTCCTTACCTCATTATGACATTTCCACCCATGTAAACAATGTATCCCGGGTAACCTCATTTCCTTTGTTGCTCTTCATCTTCTCCTTAAAACATATGATATATGTTCAATATGGTAAGTGAAACTCACTAATATATATGTTGTCTTGAAAGAGTTGCTAAAATTGATTTTTTTCATGGCTGGAGGGGGGGCAGGCTGGGAAATATTCTAAGTATGAATTGAAACTTTATTCCTGGGATAAGGTTCAAACCCAAGCTTATTTCACTTCAAAGCCCATCCTTTGTCCATCGCATTCTGCCTTTCTATGTGAACACAATCTTGTTTGTATTTAGAAAGAAGCTCAAATTCCAAAATATGCATTTGAAGGGTAAGTGAGGGAAGGAATTAGAAGTTTTAATCCAGCAAATAGACACTTACTTTTCTGTAGGGAGTTTGAGTGAAGAATTATATATCCATACAGAAATGTACATGCCTGTTTTTATCTTGGGTCTTTCTGGTGGTTCCATTTCTTGGGTGATAACTTTGGTCAGTGGCTATAATGAGGAACTTATATGAGTACTTATCTGCTCATTAAATGATTCTCATGGCTCAGGAACTGAATGGAACTTAAATGACATGTTTGTCCAAGTCCCATCAATTCTCCATTCTTTGCTAGAGAGGGACAAACATCATTTGTATTGATGAGATGTTTTTGGTTACACTTCATGTTCAACTCTGCCTATTGATTATCACTCATAATATACTGAATCAAAGGTTTACCTTTACAGAAGTGAGGTTGTCTTCTCTGGTCAATTTACCTTTGTGGATCTCATCTCTGAAGAAGATGGAGAACATAATATACTATAGGTTACGTCATGAGGGATGAATGGTATTTGCAAGCAGTTCTTTTCTTTCCCTTGCCAATGATATATTCTAAAAAAAAGCATGTAAAAAGTAAGCATTAAGAGGTCCAAATTCTAGTTGTTCTTAAGTTCTCTAATTGTTCTCTTATATTTACTGTAGGAAGATGAAAGGACTATGATTATTTAGAGACTAACCCTTCTGAAAAAACATTTGAAAATGGCATTTCTCTCCCCATATCCTTCTGTGGGTGAAATCACCACTATTTCCCATATCCTAGGAAAAAAAGAGCATTGAAGTAAGCTAAATTATGAATAATGTGTGTAATTGCATAGAGGGGGACAGACTTACTTTTGGTCATGAGTATCTGTCTTCATTAGTCCTTTTTATGCAAAAAAATACCAAGATGTTTCTTGAAAGGATTATTCTTTAGAATGCATAAAGACATCTTTTTATGACTCAAGAAAATTTCTCCCTATCCCTCATAATTACGGGCCTCCAGTCTTAGCCTTAGTTTCCCTGAAAAGGAAGCCTGAACAAGGGCAGCTAAACTAGACTTTGACTTTGAATGCAGTTATAGCTTATTTTTCCACAAGATCACTTCAGACAATCTCATTGCACCATTTTCAGGAAGGATAAAGGTCACCAGCTTTTGAATACCAAGTCCAATGTCCTTTCCTAGATGTATTCCTCCCTGTCCTCTTCCTCTGTGGGAATCCTTCAGCACCCTGCTTGAGCCACCTTATGGAAGATTCTAATCCTTATTGCCTGGTTGAAGATAATACCTTCACACTACATGCCTATTTCATGATACAACCAGTCCTTGGGTGACTTCTGCTAGATCCCACTCTTTAAGAATATTTAGTCATACCATCTACAGTTTCTTCCATATTACTTAACAATTTACAATATAAACATTTGTGAAATGGAAATATTTTATGTGTAATTGGTGGGGTCTTTCATTCTATTAACATATATTACTAACCACTTTTTAAAGAAAGTTGTACTATGCTCCTACAATAGGAGCATATTACAGCTCGTCTAAATGCTTGGAAGAGGCCTTATTAAAAAAATTACCAGCTCAATAAAAGTGGTTGACAAGAGCACCTTTACTATTTTCACAGTATATGCAATTTACCTAAAGGCTTATTGTCATCATGCTTTTGCTCTGTTCTGGTCTGTCATCGGTCTGTGACAGTTATCCATAAGTGAAAAGGACAAAATACATTAAACTGGGAAGCTGGAAGACTTAAAGACATGTTAATTAAAATTGTTTTAAAGGTCAAAGAAAGTTTCAATCATGCTGAAAATTTACTAGGGAACTAATCAAGGAAATCTGGTGACTCAGGGTGGCCCTCCAGGGGTGTGTGAGAGTTGCATATTGTGGAATTTCCTCTGACATAATGCAAGGATGAGGGTGCATGTGTCCTCTGGTGTTGAGATGATATAAAAAGCCACAGAAGCACACCATTCAACGCAAGTCCCCAGAGACAGCAGAGCTTCACAAGCTTCTGGAGGAGAACCAATAAGAAACAGGAAAACAAACTGACTTCAGCTCAAGCAGTCATGACTCACAAGCAGGCCATTGCTCTCTTGGCGGCTGTCCTGCTCTCTGCAGCTATGTGTGAAGGTAAGCAAGTGCATCCAACTGACCTACCAGACTTTCCCATGTCTAATGCAATCTATAGACAGTAAGGCTGTCTTTCATGCATTGAGATGCACCCGGAGACGAATATAATCCTTGCAGTTATGCAATGTTAAACATAAGTTTTATGTTTCAGGCTGTATCTCTATATAACTTAGGAAAGTACAAAGTTTGACCAACACAGACAATTCTGCACTTATAATTCATATTTGGCAAAGTGTATATGTTTAATATAACATTGTTGAATATGACTTATTGTAATTTATACAATATCTTATTAAAACCATAGCTATCCAATATGTAAAGTAACTCATAGCTTAATTCTGTGTAGTTATTGGCAAGCCTCAGGTCTCCATTCATGTCTGGTTTAAACACAGCCTTATTATAGACCTTCTTGATCTCCTTTCTATGAAATAAACGCAGTTTTGAATGCTTACACCATGTATTTTCTCTGTTTTTTTTAGCACCTCAGATTTTACTAACTTATCTGTGCCATACATTTGTATTTTCTATTAATTCTTTCTGGAGAGAATTTTTATGTGGATGAGTGTACAATATATAGTATTTTGGTACAGAGAATGGTACCATAAAATGTCACAAACAATATTTTGGTCCAGCGAGTATGATACCATATTGAGTGGAGCCAAAGAACCATATGAATGTCAATGTGGTAGACAACTCCAACTCTTTGTAAAGAAAGCAACAATGTTTGCAGTAATAACTTTTTTAAATGAAGAAAATCAGTCAATATCTAGAAGAATGTTTGGCCTTTAGTATCAAGAATAGGTTTACTAGAAACATGATAATTTCTACTTGACCTAGATAATCATAGTGGAATTATAGAAGGAATCGCCAGCGGAACTATATTTATTGACACAATTAACTTAATCCTTTTCTTTCCCTTACAGCTGCAGCTGTGGGAAGGACTGCTTCAGAGTTTCGATGCCAGTGCATAAAGACTCACTCCACACATTTCCACCCCAAATATATTCAAGAATTGAAAGTGATTCAGGGTGGACCTCATTGTTCCAGTACAGAAATCATGTAAGACCTTTAAAAATCATTCATTTGATCCAACAAGCCTGGAATTAAGGAAGTTCAAAGAATTTAGGAAAGTTCAAGGCGCTAGGAATAGTAATGAGCAAAACAAAACAAACAAATATCTTTGTCTACATGATCCTTAAATATGACATCTTCCATGCCTAGCAGTGGAAGGCGATGTTCAACTTAGAATCGTATGCCCATACTTTAGGAACCTTTTGTGAATGAAAAAATGAAATATTGATTTTAACCATCTCTCTCATTTCAGCGTAAAGCTTGTTGATGAGAGAGAACTGTGCCTCTATCCTAAGGAAAAGTGGGTACAGAGGGTTGTGGAGTCATTTGTGAGGAGGTAAGTTGGTGTGTCACATTTTAAAATTCAGGAAGTGGTGCTGTGGCTCAAGAGGTAGAGTGCTCGCTTTGAGCTGAAGAGCGCAGGGATAGCGCCCAGGTCCAGAGTTCAAGCCCCACAACCAACAAAACAAACAAACAAACAATTTTAAGATTCAGTCTTCTGAGAGTCAGCCTACAAATTGTTTTTCTATTAAGCCTTTGAATTTCTTGTTGTTATAAAATTTCCCCTTTGATTAAAAATTTAAAAATGATCATAATAGTTATTTTTATGCCTAGAATGATCACATACTTCATCTTGTGTAGGGATATCCAGGTTTATGCCTGAGTTGTGTATTCTTAGTAAAGTTTCCTTGAACAATCAAAAGTGTCCTAACGTGTATGATGACTTATCTTTATGCCCTACTTGCCATACAAAGTATACGAAGTTGCTAATACATTGGTGTTTAAGATGATATATGCACTTTTAAAGAAAATATATTTTGAAGAACTCACTTTGTAAAAAAAAGATGATGTTTCATTACTTTTTCTATTCTGATTTATTTTCAGGGCTGAGATGAGAAAGCCATGAAAAATAAATGAATTTTCCATGGTAACTCAGAATTCTTCAGTAAAGATTCAACTCAAACAACTCTACTCCACTGCTTCGTGTAGTGTGGGTCTGTTAGGAGGCTGCCAGAATACCTACCACTGTTGAATTTCAGTACAACAATGAATAGCTGGTTTTATTTTTTCATTGTATTGTGCAATATCGAGTGTGCATTGATATAAAATGTATTTGTTTGAATCCTCAGAAAATGTCAAAAATTGTCTTCCTAGAAAAGTGATGCTTTAAGCATTACATAAAAATGATAAGACAGTGATCTTTTCTGTCAATTAAAATTTAACTAAAAATTCTGGGTTTGTATTACATAAACCCGGCAGACCTCGTATCATTAGCCAAGAACCATATGAGACCCTGTTTAACTATGCCTCAATTTCTCTTTTTGTTCTGAACTAGAGAAAACATGTCAGTCACCGTCCAACCCAATGGGGGTGTTGTGTGGACATGTGTGCACTTTAGCTTTTCTTCACATTAATGTCAATATTTTTCAAGTGTCATTATTTATTATTTATATATTTATTTAACCATAAAATAGTAATATTTGTGCATGAATTTGGAAAAAGAGCACCAGAAGCATGATTGTTAGGATAAGATAATGATGTCATATACATGAATACATATTTAGTTATTTAGTTTAGGGTATTAAATGATAGTATGTTAGACAACTTCTCATTAGGCTTTCCAGATTTAGCAAAAAGAAAGAAGAGCTAGTTACATTTTTCTTTTATATAACAATAATTATTTAGGGCCCAGAGGCCTGTCTCATTGGTAGAGCCACCTGCCTAGCAAACATGAAACCGTGACTTCAAACTTTAGTACTATCAAAAGAAATAATAATAATAGTAACATTTTTTTCAGTGTAAGCACACTGTCAGTTTTTTGAAAATTTAGTTGAGCTCACAATCCTTGTTTCATTATTCAATTCTACATGGAATGATAGAATCCTGAGTTAGGACAATCTGTCTCAAAAGATCAAAAATTTGCCAGGCAATGTATGCAAAGTCATGTCATGCTGATAAAATGTACTTATTAGGTATAAATAGGTTGTCATAATTTTATTTAAATAATGTTACCTTTTGAATAATAGGCCATGTTGTTTCAACATTAAGATACTTTAATGTGTTTCCAGTTTTTCTGTTGCTCTTTATAATATGGAAATTCAAATGTAACTATGAAACGTTTAAAATAAAATTTATTGCCCACATCACCAACTGCTTGTCTTTCATTAGTAGTTTTATGCTATTGTTAGTTTCTTTGTTTATATAAAAAATAACATTTTGTTTTAGAAAGTATAAATATTTTCATTACAATTTTATATATTGTATGACAATTTAAAAAGCTCTATTATAGGAAAACAAAACTTCTTTGGAGTTTCTGAAAGAAATTGCTACAAAGAGCAGTTAAATTTTTTTTTTCAATTTCCCACTGTATTCCATTTTACTAATATGGTTAAGTTTAGACTTTCAATCAGTGGCTGACTGAATATCTTAGGATAGCTTGACGCTATGTTAAAGAGGGAAAAGAATACACATATCATGCTTATCAATAATTCAGAAGTAAAACTAACATATAAGATACAAAGTTTGAAATACAATTAACATTTTGAAAACAAATTAAATATTTGAAAAAGTAAGAAATACAATTGACTTAAATAACAGTGGAAGATCAAACACAACTGAAAATAAAACTGAAAAATAACTTAGAAAATAGAACTAAAGAACTTTATGTGAATTCATATGAGAGAAATAAGGAAGTACTATGTAGAGACTAGGGCTGTAGTTCAGTGGTAGAAATCTTGTCTGGCATATGTGAGGCTTTAGTTTGGTTCTTAGGACTTGAAAAAAGAGAGAAACCTACTGACATAGAAAAAGGAGTTAAAAGAATGATAGTGTCCATTTGTAAAGAAATGGAAAGACGAAAAAAATTATATTAAGTGAAGTAAGCCAGACCCAGAGAAACATAGGCTGCATGGTTTTCCTCATTTGTAATAATTGGAATGGGTCTATAAATCTACAAGTACACCCAATGGATAGTAAAAGACAAAAATTACACTTGGATGTATTATTTAAACAGCACTCTAAACATTCATGCAATGATACCAAAGGAGGATATATTTTTTTGGGGGGGTCCAGTCGTGGGCCTGAACTCTGGGCCTGGATGCTGTCCCTCAGCTCTTCAGCTCAAGGCTAGCACTCTACCACTTGAACCACAGTGCCACTTCTGGCTTCTTTCTTTTTGCTTATGTGGTGCTGAGGAATCGAACCCAGGGCCTCAGACATGCAAGGCAAGCACTCCACCACTGAGCCACCTTCCCAGCCCCAAAGGAGGATATTTTTAAAAGAGGATCACAAGAGCTCAATTGCTATGTGCATATGACCAGATAACACACTCCAAGAAAGGGAAACAAGATTTTTTTTTGTACTGTTTGTGGTTCTCTTTTTTCCTCTCTTTTTCTTCAGTTCTTTTCCCTTCTGTGGCTGTGTTTTACTTCTGTACCCTTTGTCTTATATATAAGTTTATCGGATGTGTGGATGGGAAGCACAGAAATGGTGGGACAAAGGGTGAACCAATTCAGCAGTGATACTCCTTAGACACTGTGAGGTCTGCCCCGGCCATGCAGGCCCAGTGCAGACACCTCCCTACCTCTTGGCTAACTTTCTGCCCAGTATTTGTGTTACCTAGGTAACTGACACCTCTGGAAGCAGTCACCTCCCCTTCCTGCTAGGTCACATCCTGGGCCATCCCTAGTCACGCTTTCCATCTGACCAAAGGAGGGTCCCAGGACCTGAGGTCACATCCAGATCCAGTGTGGCCACACCTTTCCCCCACCTGGCCACACACCTTCCCAGTCACTGGCCTAGATCAGTCCTGGCTCAGGGGTGGGTCTCTTCTTTTGGCCATGCCTCTCTACCAGGCGCAGTTAGAGGCAGCAATTTAGTAAAAACTTATTTTCCTGTCTGAGTACCGTGTGGCAGTCTCTTCATCAGCTACCTAATGAAACCTACCTATTTAATATACCTTACAGACACTATGTTGGAAATGAACTATACAACTTGGTGGGGGGAGGGAGAGAAAAACTCGGAGAAAATGAGGAAGAGGATGACACTGTTTAGAAAGAAATATTACCTAACTTGTGTAACTGTAACCCCTCCGTACAACACCTTTACAAATAAATTTTTTTTAAAGAAAAATGTGGGATACAGGGGGAAGGTCTCACAAACCATATTCTGAGCAAGTCACAGTACATTTCAAATACCTGATACCATAAAAACCAATTCCTCTAAACATTTTCAATGAAGTTAGGTTTTAACCAAAGAAAAGTAAGTTTAAAAAATAACCTACATGTCTGGAAAACATTAAATACTTCTAAATAAATAGAGTATTTTGAATAGGAGATTAGAATTAAAACAAGAAAAAAATTAGAAACTAAGTACTACATATCAAAATGTATGGAGATGAGGTACGGCAGTGGGTTAGAAACATTTGCTGCTTCCTTTGTCTACTGGCCATCCTTCTTTCCTCTTCAGAGAAGTTTCTTTGTAAATCTTTTTTTAAAAATTTTATTTTATTTGTGAACATACTGTACAGAGGAGTTACAATTACATGGGCAGGATAATGCGTACATTTCTTACCAAGCATTGCAGCCTCCTCCTTTGTTTACCCTTCACATCCCTTCCCAGCCTCCCCCC